AACCACTAAAATATTAAAATAGAAACGTTGTTCTTTTATTATCTATGTTCATGGGAAAACTTTAAAATGAGGAATTCGTATCTGGAATATGCAGCTTTCTCGATTACATTAAATGGTTCGTAGCCTTACATGCAATACTGTGTCGGTGGTCACTATTTTTTTTCGACTTGTAGATAAATTACGTAAATGTAACCTTTCACAATCCATTTCAATTTGCAGCTGAGAAAATTATTTTATGAAATTCCGTCCATTTGATAGATATGTTAAAGTTTGTTGACCAAGTGCCTATTTGATTGCAGGGGTTCAAGGTAGAGCGGAATAGTTTAAAGTGTTTTCTCTAGAATCCCAAATCCATATCACGCCTATTAAAATTTGCATTAACTCCTGTTCAATGATTTATTAGCTGTCGAATATAAATTTAAAATGTATCGTTTAAATTGTAAGAGTTATAAGTTAAAATAGTATAAAGTTGTTTATATTTGTTAAAAAGTAAATATTTTACCTTTTACCAAAATAGCTTGTGAACGTATGTAAGTTTCTAATATTGTTTATTTTCCATACAGGTTGATATGTTTTACTTATTTGCGTTTGTCAATAACGTGTTGTTGTTCCCCTCATTAGTAGGGTTTTACTGTTTAAGTCACCTGTGGTTATGGAATGTCACACAAAAATGCTATACACATTACTAAACATTAGAATATAGTTTTTTTTTTTTTTTTTTTTTTTTTTTTTTTTTTATTCCGCGAAGAACTACTCGCAAGCTTGGGACTGTGTAAGATGTATACAATACGACCAATCTACTTGGTTTGAAATTGAAACAACAATGTTTGAATGGGTTTAAATCAGAAAATCCAATCCAAACCACATAATTCCTTCACTCAGTCGACAAAATGCTTTTCCATTTCCCGCCGCAAACATCATGTAAACCGTCACAGCCGCCATATTGTTGTCGAATTCGTCCAATTTCCGGTCCTAATTTCTTCTTCTTCATCTCCAGACGTCACACGTAAGCGTTTTGGTTTAAATCGATTTCGTATGACAAACATTGACACATGTTTAGTACAAATCGGAAAAGTACAAATCCCGTTGCATTGACGCTGGTCATAGATCAAATTTTTTATATATTGTAAATTATACATTGTATTTGCAATAACATTATATTTTACCGAATCGTTATACAGTATTTAATAATAATCGTTACAGTTGTTATTTAATAAGAAATAAACCACTTAAAAACACATTTCTTAAACTTGTAGCAATATATATTTGTATAATAATGGTTACAACCAGATTAATTTTTTAACAAAAAGTAATCACATTTTTTTATAAATTTACAAAATAGCTTTCACGATTACTAGAAAAATACCGGTATGGATCATAAACATAAACAAAGTGACGTTTTTGGCCCGAAATAAACATTATTTAACATTGCTTAAATGTAACTGCCAAAACATATGTTCAAAGCTATTAGTATAGGATTCGGGCCAACAACGTCACTTTGTTTATGTTTGATGATCTATACCGGTATTTTTCTACTATACTATACTATACTATACTATAGTATAATCACGATTACTATAGTAGTAATCGTGATAGCTTTTAAGCATTGGTATTTTCATATGTGCACGGCGATTGGGCGGATTTTCAATTGGTTTTTACGCTTGTTTTTGTTAAACTATTATATTTGCAAAGTCGTAAAAAAATTATATTTAAATAATTGCTTTACTACCAAGACCTTTTTTCGTCCCAATGATTGTCCTGTTATTCATAGCAAATGAACAATGTCAGATAACAATTAGACCAAAAGCTGACATATTTTCTTCGGAATCAATCTGAATACTTTGGATTGTAAAACAAGCACTCTTACCTTTGTTTTGCTATTTTACCTATGCATTTAAAATAGCTAGTTTAAGACTCATGCCAGATAAAAATGTTACAATAGGGTGAAGATTCTTTTTTTAGTAAAAGACAAGAATGTACACAAATAGTAACTGGAATCCTTCCAACATTGTATCACATTTACTTTGTAAAACAAAAACCTAGCTTGTAATTTTATAACTTAACGCACACTATGACTTAACTGCACCCAGAGAATCACTGGGCTACAAGTGGTAAACTAAATAACGTTATGGCTCATTAGCAAACTATATGTTTGTCTAATTTATTAACCTCTCAGCGAATGAAAACATGCTGTAACGCAGTGATAAATCACAGGACAACCTCTTTCAGAAACATAAGCTAAAATCAAGTGTTGGCGAATTAGTGCAAACAGCCGTGGAATGTAAATATGGGATGAAACAATTCCATCCTGGACACACATGCTAATGTGATAGCCACTAGAGCTCCGCCACATGTTCTGCTTGTACACAATTTGTTTAAGCACTACGTTTTTTGTGATTTTGCAATTAGTTTCCCTCATTTTATAATAGCATCTTGCATCAACGTAACAGTTATTATTGATTATTTAATTAGTTCTCAAACGTCGATTAGTTAAACATGGGGAATTTATATTTGGAAGAAATTATTCCATGAAACATTGAAATAAGCTAATCAGAGATATGGATAAAGAGGTTATAACCAACAAAGTAATGAATACAATAAATATGTGTGTACTTAATAAAGTATATAATAAAAGGTAATTCAGTTTCCATATCGTTGTTATTGGCAGTAAAAAAGCAAGCACAGCTATGGAGATCTTAGTATTAGTTAATTACTAGAAACAGGACATATGCTGGCTGTACGGCTGTACGTGCCCAAGTCTTAAAAAAAATTAGAATCTTAAACAATTTTGTGAAAAGGCTCAGGTTTATTTAACAACTTAAACGTATTTATAGTGTTTTGTTTTTTTTTCTTGAATAGAATTGAATTTCTTTTATAAAAATCCACAGGAAGTTTTAAATAAAAACTTGATTTTATCAGGGTAAATATAATGATAGTTAAATTTTGTATGATAATAAATTAAACCTGTTACAAAGATAAATTAAATAAAAGGTATAGAACATAAATGTTTAAAAATAAAAATTATCGGTTTAAACGTTTAAAATGCCTTTGAAAAGTCCACCTGCTGTATTTTATTTTACATGTTATTTGGGCAATGACAATAATTTTAGATATATCAGTTACTGGACGATAATTCTTTAGGGCTTAGGTCTCATGTATATTGTTCATAGATATAAAGTTTACGAAGTCTATAAATAATAAATATTCTTGGCCATACTGACTAAATTATTACTTAATTAATTACTTTTTAAATTTGTCTAAGATTTAGCAACACTAGCCTCGCCAAAGGATAAATTTTAAACATACTATTACTCAACAACAACAACGTCTACTGGAAGATACTTACTTAGGTCTTGGTTTTACATCAAATTCAGACTATTACAAAATTATTCATAGATATTCATCAAACTAATTAATCGTTGTAATTTCTTAATAGATTTTCTTGACTAACTAAAGCAATTTTCTCTTCCTACTTCACTGAATACGAGACCATTAATGGTGGCAAGTCATTCAGAGAAATATACGTTTTAAACTAGAAAGTCAGTCGGACACTCAAGATTTGTCGTACCAAATTATTGTTATGAAAACAACAGATATTGAAAGAGGCTGTTAGTCAACACATTTGAGTCAAAACAGAGTTCTTTATAAAACGGACACACTTAAAACCACATTTTAGTCATTTCAGCCACAAGCTATTGACTTTCGATACTGGAAATAGATTTTGTTATCCTATTTTTAAACGGTAGTTGTGTTTTTTATGTGTGGTGAATATTTCTTCTAATCAATGGGAAATTTGATGGTGCAGCCTTTTAATTTAATTACTGAATGCCTTCCTCCATAAATGCTGGATATAAGGCGTTTCTTCTTCTTAAAAGTGGAAATTGTTGAAACTTTTTTTATAACAATATACCCCAATCAGCTTTTGCGCGCACATTTTCTATATTCCTTTGTTTATTATGTCATGAATTAATTTCAATGTATAGTTTAGCAGCGGAAAATGTTTATATACACAGCTTTCACTTATTTTTAAAATTAAATTTTAGCTCGTCTCAAACAGAACTAGGTATTGTACTTTGCATTTATTTTTTTTCGAAGTTTATTGTCCCGAATAGTTTACTTTTAAGGATAGAGAATTTTTTTACTTTACTTTTTAGTATATTTAAACCTTTGAATGCATGATTTTCAATACACTTAAGATTTTATTGGTCAAAATTCAGCTAAATAGCTTTAGAAACTTGTTTAACAATATGCTCTCAATGCCTGGACTTGAACTAATTATTGTAAATTACTACTTCCTCCGGTCTCTTCGCAGTAAAATGCTAGAAATGTAGTAAATGTCTTAATATAAATCATTCAGTTAAAATAACTTTAAGAAATATATACTTCACATTTTCTTATTGATAAAATTAAAACACTTTACTTACGTAAAACTTAAGAGCAATTTGACTTCAAAAGAACTGTTTGCGACAGTTATATACATGATATAGATTTAAGACTTTCGCATGTTTTACATGGAAATTTTAGGCAAAAGAATCTTCTATGTTGAACGTTCATTTCCCAACACTCGCTTTACACCTACTTAGCTTCAATTGACATAGTTCCAAAATAAACAACCTTGAATGTAAACTTGCGGAAATCATCGCCAGTGTCACACTTTGCGTCACATAATCCGTCCGGTCAAGCAAGATATACGAGAGTTCTCAGCCAAAAGTCCCACACTGTCAAGCAACCTTAAATATGCATTTTACAGTTAATGCAACGACATGGTCTTGTATGACCTACGCAACCAGAATTCCGAAGGAGGTTCCCCTCTAGTGCCATCTTTCTTTCAGCAGTCAATTAATTTGCGCGTCCGCCACTTCTGGCGCGCTGCCGATCCATTACGGCAGAATCACTAAAAATACTAAAGGAATGTGGCAGGGCTAATTAATGCTATCAATTCAACATTTCCCAATGAATTAATTTTTGTATTTAAAGTTAAACTACTTTTTGTTTCTTACCTACAAAATATCTCACCCAGGAGATTTTCAAAGATCGCACGTAAGTACGAGTCACTCGCGGAACACACGATAAAAGGTACGCGTACCGACGTCGGGCTCCAGCGGCCAACTAACGCGTCGCGACGCCGCTCCCGCTCGGCCACAGTCGGCAACACTCGGACCACTTCGGCGCAGGCGTCGCGGGGTCGGAGGAGGGTATCTTCGGACTTTGGAGTTTGTTTATTACAGCTATCGCGTGTTTATAAACCGCGAATTGGTCGGGCTCGGATACAATCCGATTTACGATTGTTTAAAGTTAACTCTCCCGGGTCCAACCGCAGTAACATTCGCGAGAGTTGGCGATCTAACTAGCTTCCCAGCTGTGAATAAAACAATTAGTTTCCTAACATACTGTTGGTATGGGTAAACTCACTAACTAACAAATATATGGTTGAGTAAAACGTCAATTTAGTGTATCAATTTATGTGAATGTTATGTTTATGTCCAATTACTCATAGATATTATAAGTTGAATATAGCTGTGAGCTCTCAAACAGTTACATGACTGTTTCATTCAATTCATTATTCCACTGATAAATTTAATAAAGGTACAGGTTACAGAAAAAACTGTGAATTTTTTCATATATTTGCAAAGGATTTACAAAAGTAAAAATTATATACCTCTGATTTAATAAGGTTTGCATATTATGAAATATGATCCAAGGTTATAAAATACTAAGTAAAGTACAGACTAAAATAAAACATACCTCGTCTTGCAGTTCAAATAGTGTGTTTTTTTTATCCACTACATGTTTCGCCATGTTGGCATTTTCAAGTGGTACACAGAAAAATTGAAACATTATACTATCCGATTATCCGAATTGGACTTGTCAAGTTGTAGAAATTTAAATTTACACATAAAACTGAGTTCTGTCTGTCAGTGCCGTGATCGGGTTACAATAAGTGTTGTAGCACAGACAATGGAATAAACCATTAGAGTATTATATTGACAGTGGTTGTAGGCCTGCATGAAAATGTTTTGTTCGTGCGTGTTAAATGTATATACAGTTTTATGTGTAAATGTAAATTTCTACAACTTTACAAGTCCAATTCGGATAGTATAATGTTTCAATGTTTCTGTGTACCACTTGAAAATGCCAACATGACGAAACATGTAGTGGATTAAAAACACACACTATTTGAACTGCAAGACGAGGTATGTTTTATCAAGCAGTCCAGGGGTTAAAAAAATGGAATTTAAAGTATTAGTTTGACATTAAATAATTTATGAACAACATAACTCCTGGTTTATTCATTTATAGTAAAAAAATTGATTCCGGTTATAAAACTTGAAAACCGATTAACTCTGAAAAAACAAACACTTCACGCAAAATCACGGTTTGGAACCAATGTCACTAATTCGACAATGACGGAGAAATTTCATAACGCAAATCGACCGGTTCTGGATTGACCTGAAACTAAAACGCGATTATGACGTTAATCAAATATCGGGCTTCATTGTAATGATATCTACGAGCCGTCATTACAATGACATTAGAGAAGGTAAGCTTGTGCCGCAGCGCTGCAGCCCTACAATGACCGGATCACTGTCGTGCCCAATCAATGGAGGATTATGGTTCTGACTGTGACTGGTCCCAGCTGATAATTAGCTTCTGGAACAGCGCTTTCAACCATCAACTGCCAACTGTGGTTATCCTCACCTACAGCCCTGCGTCTCTTAACCGTATCACTTCTGGGGGATTTCTTTGGTGGTGAAAAGATTATACAGAAATTGGTACAGAACTGCGATTATGTTTATTTTTGTGACTCATTAAAACACAGTATTTTAGAACAGAGTTCCGATACTTAACGAAAATAATAGACTCAACTCCAATAAGCATTATCTTTTAAGATACGTTTAGCAAAAACAACAGTAACATTGACTTTAAATATTAAAAAATTAGTATGAAAATACCAGATTACTTACACAATTGACTTTGAATAGTTTACACTTCTCATCTAATATTGAGTTCTGAAGCATTAATTATTTACGTTTTTGAAAGGTTTTGAACAGTCTAATACAAAAAACCTAAAAAAAACTCTAAAGGCAACACAATGAACTTGACAAATTCAAATTGTATATGTATGTTTTTATAGGGCCAGCAGGTTCCCATCTACACTTTCAGTAAACTATTTTAAGTTATGTCCTTATTTTTACCTATAAAACGTCTATGAAATTATTGTTATGCAAATACACTTAGTTAACAAAACACATTTACTAACAAAACACATACACTAATGCTATCGATCAAACGCATTTGGCACTACTATGCATTCCTACAAATTTGTTGGGAGCGAGCTGGTCTAGTGGTAGAGTGCGCGGGGCTTCGGTTCCTGAGGTCCCGGGTTCATATCCCACCAATTACCAATGCAATAATCAACTAAAACCTTATCAAGATGTCATCTTAGATGTAGAAAAAGAAGAATGGCAAGTTTCTCAGACAAGATCTGTCTCTGTATGAGGGCTCGACCTCTAATGGCCATGTAATTATAAATTTTATTTGAAGACATTAATAAATTGAAACTACGGGACCCAAGCTGCTCCGCCACATTTAAATAAATATCATATCCAATAAATAATCAAATTCATGATTTTTGATTCAGTAATACAGTACGTCGTTACGTATAAGCCGAGTGGGACTGTAGATAAATATATGGCTATTATTTATATGAAATCTGTGCGTGCATACCTTCAATTTGACCTCAATCATTAAAATCGGTCGGGTAGAAGAGCCAAACGAACACGGAACAGAAAACCTAAATTTAACTCCTGTAAGAAAAACATGGGGAGCAAATTTCGTTTACGTATAAGCCGAGTGGGTCTGTAGATTATATGTCTATGTTTGATGTAAAATCTGTGCGTGCATACCTTCACTTTGAGACCTCTATCATGAAAGTCGGTCGGGTAGAAGAGCCAAACGAACTAGGAAAAGAAAACCCAATTTTTTAATACACAAGATTAGGAACATTTTTTTCGGTCCACAATTGATTATTTTACCTACAAGAGGTTTAGTTACCTTTTTCTGTCCAAGTAATCCACAAGTCGTGTATATGGTGACCGATTTCGACGCTTATGACGTAATTTTCAAGCAGGAAGACGTAAAATCTGTCACTCTCAGTTTTTAATTATCTACTTCCCATTACGTTCTTCTCCATCATTAATTATTTTACGCGTTCATCGTCAATGTACGATTTATAAGCAGTTAAACATTATTAAATTATGATTAGATTGTAGTATCCAAATACAAATCACTACTGGTAAATGTAAAATGTCACAACTTACAGTTTTCATTCAATTTTAATCCATGGCAAACTCCATGGACGGAACTAACAACTTTCGTATGTTAACCTCACAAGTACTTACTTTCCAACACTGACTAAAAACTCAATCTGATCGTTTAAGGAAGTATTACAACATAAAGTGACGAGTAAGACAACAAAACTACAAGTAAATCGGCTGTAACATTGCTTCCCTACGCGCAGAGACAAGAATCCACAAGAACTAAGCAGTATACAGTTTTGATTGCTTCTTAGCAACAATGAATCATCAGCTGATAAGTTGAATCAGCTGATGCTTTATTCGACCTAACGAAATGAATACAACTGAGTATTGTTTGGGCCCAGACGAGTAGGATTACTATAACATTACTTTTCAATGATTTTTCGGGGCAGAGAAATGCTAAATATTATATCAATGTCCCTACCGCAGCAAACCTGCCGACTAAGAGAATTACCATTTTCCTTATTTGATTTTCAATTAAATCCATCTTAATAACGTGACGTTTAACGATTACCTAGGGGCGCTGCTACAAGAAGGGTAATAAATCGTGTTTTTAGAAAATATTAGCTTAGTATAAAATAAATAAATTTTCCAAGTTTGATCAAAATATATCCATAAAAACAAACTACAACAGTTTTCTTATCCCCCTAAGAATAACATGGGAATTTTTAAAAAAATTTTTCTCCTAATTTTCAAAATCTCCTAAAATTTCATATTTATTACCTATTTAAAAAACATTAGTTTAACAATTGGTATTTAGGTTTGCTGCTACAGGGAAATTAATGAAGTGATTTATTTGTTACATTTTAATAGTATACTATGAGGAATTTGAACGGGTGGCGTTTTTGGCCTCTGTGGGTATTAAAAGGTAAATCGGTCCCGGGTACAGGTCTTACCATGAGACCTACGGTAATATGTTATTCCCTATATGGGAAATTTGCTAAAATGCACTGACAATGTAATTATTCCCTAGCTGTTAAATGCCTAAACACATTCAGCTTGTATTTATGTAAGAAATGCTTAAGTGAAAATACGTATTTTACTTTCTGTAGAGAACCCGTAGGTTGGATTTCCGTTTACTATATAAAAGGTAGACTTTCATGACAACACCCATTTCCCCAACCACTGACTGTTCTTTCTGGGTTGGTATTAATTGAACCAACTGACCTGAGTCAGGTAGTCGGTTATGCCTGAATTGCGCCAACTACTCCAGGGAGCCACCCGATACGTTCCAAGTGGCAGCCGTCTTTGACTGTTTCTAAGGGAGTATGTTTAATCTATCTATGGTATAATTCAGTAGGTAAGGTTAGGTTAGGATGACACGTAAACAAGGACATTCTTTCTGACGGCAACTCCCCTGCCTGGCTTAGGCTTGGCGCAAGGAACATTTTTGGGGCCCTTTGAGGGCTTGGCGCAGTTAAGGAACTCTCTTTGGCACAATTAATACACGACCGTTCTTTCCCGTCTTTAACTAGAGGCTCCTAATTAAAAATGTTATGTCTTTGAACAAAGAAACCCGTAAAATATTTTTTGGATTTTTAAAACATTAAAAATTAACACAATTTGTATAACAACACAATTTTTGTTACACTTTTTAAATATCTTTCTTTTGATCATCCAGTTTTTGTAATAATCACCTCAGCGAACAAATTGATACACTTCGTGTCACGTTGTAACAGTACCCGGTTTCATGGTCATGGTCTTCCATTTGATAGATGTTTATCCTAGTTAGATTTAGGGTATATAACTTATATGGAAATATTAAAACAACAATAATATAAAGGACG